CCCGTGTTCTCTGTCACTATCCCAAATAAAGCCAAAGACTGTTATCTAGTATACTTGGTTGAAAAACTACACACATCAACAGGTCATTAAGGGCCAGCAGTTCAGAATCACCCTGTAACACACTTCTGTATTTCTGTTAGACAGAAAGACAGACTGTCTTCATTGCTACAGCTATTTTTTTATTTTAAATGTGGCCTAAATTCTTTTCAAAAATTATGTAGATAGTGACAATGCAACTGGAAAATACCAGAGTGCAAAGGCTACTCTAGATATTCAATATAGATTGCAGGTATGACATGTTTATTTTACATTTGGCTGAATTAGTATTACACACATTTAAATTTGACTCACGTGTGATTGTAAAAATGAATGCTGAAAATGTTTGGCTGTAACACTCAAATGGAAGCAGGTACCACTGAAATTGATGAATGCTTATTTTTGACTAGGTGACAGCACCTAACTAGCATTGGTTAACCTCCATAAGCTAAGTTGATTTGAGCTTAGTAGTTAGATAGGAGACCATCAGGAAAATCAAGACTGTAGACTAGACTGAAAAGTTGCAAAAAAATCTTCCTGAAGAAGGCAAGGGCAAGCTAGGTCCATGTCATTGCCAAAAAACCTTCAGGGATGTATCAATGAAGTCACCTGGAATTTTTGTTTGAAGGATTGCATTGCTTGTTTTGCTGGACAGGAGGAAAGAACATAACACAACATGATAAGTAAATGGGATACACGTGGACTATCTTGTAATAAATAGCAGCTGAGCATGCTTGCTGCCTTCTCCATTTACATCTTGGGTTATGCCTGGTTGATGTTTCTATATTTATGCCAGGCCTTAGGCTTAGAGTGTTCCAGTCAGCTCAGTCTATTTTCACTAATACATATCTAATGCAACATTGGTAACAAGCTATATTAAGATGACATCTAGTCTCATGAAAGGTTATCCATTAAAAACAAAAAGTCAGCACTCTGTAAGAAACCCTGTAGAACTCCCTTGTTAGACAATTTCCCAGCATCATCACTATGAACTTGGATACTCAAAGGAAACCTCCTGATCTCCAGAGACCCTCATGATACTACTTTTATCACCAGATATCATATTGCCATCTATAAGAAGCAGAACATTTTCACTGATGGATTCATTTGTATGTCACCCCCTCCAGAGAAAGTCTAGTACAATTCTCATTCTTGTGAGCTCTTAGCAGATGAAGTAAAGCTGCAAAACCCACTTCCAACATTTAGACTGTAAATCCTTTGGCATAAATAATTATCCCTTTGGGGGGTTGTTGTTTAGGTACAGATTCCTATACAATCAGAGTGGGAATCTGTAGCTCTCTAGAAGCTGTTGGGTTTCAAATCCTACCAGTTCCAGTCAAGGATTATGGGAGCTATAATTCAGCAGCTTCTGTAGAAATGTAGGTTCTCCTCCCCTTTCTATACATAGAGGGCATTCTGATTAAATAAATAACAGCCCTATTAATCATGATAAGCGGAATCCCACAGAAAAAGTGCCAATTTTACAATACCTCTTCTGACCAGAAGCAGAGATAAGAGAAAGAAAATTATATTTTGTCTTGAAAAGAAAAGAAAAACATGCACATGTGTATTGTCCATAATCTAGGCCAGATTAATGACCAGTATAAATCCAGGACTTTAATCAAAAGCAACTCCTGCTCACTCAGCAAGTGAGTCACAACCAAACCATCAAGTGGATTGAATTGTGGACCTGGCCAAAGTATATATGAATAAGTACCACCGGATCACTGGAAGGTAAATGATGCTGACTTTGAAAAAAATGTATACTAGAAGAAAGCCAAGAGAAGACAGTAGTAACAAATTCTCTGCTCCTTCAGGTGTCCATCTTTCCATCTATGACAGTGTTTCTCAGCCTCAGCAACTTTAAGATATATGGACTTCAACTAGAGAATGTGAGTATTTTGTAAAGGAAAAAGGGCTTTTCTTTTTAATGTTAGAAGTGGCTCTTTCTGTATTACATGCTCCCTGTAGCTGCAGTATTGCAGACCATATCAGAAAAAAGCAACAGTTCCTGTTCAAATATTTAGTACTCCAGTGCCCATAATACCTACTGGGGGACAATTGGAGCGTTGCCCTCCAAGAGTACCGGTCTAGTTTACAATGAATGCAATGCATTTTAAGCAATTTGGAATCTTGCACTGTGGTGGAATCTGCCCATGTACAAGAAGGAAGGTATAACTTTAGTGTTCGCCCATTTGCAATGTCTGCCACGTCCAACATCTGCAGTACGATTCCACAGTGGCTAGGGTTGTGTGGCTCCACCCAGTATGCTGGACACAGCTAATATAACTTCTATCACTTTTTTAAAAGCTGAGCTATGATGAACTTCTCTTGGGTTATATATTTTATTTCTACTTCACCAGACACTCTTCATTCGTTTTAAGAATCGAGTGTATGACTATAAGATATTGGTTCTCTGTCCAAGCCCTTTCTCACTCAGCAATATGGCAAACGGTGTTCCTCTCATAACATGGCATTATTGTACAGTACTATGTTTACATGTGGACGAAATATGAAAGAGAAACGATTTTGTCATTTCAAGATTCTTGCAGGTTGGATGTTTCATAAAAGCTGTGTGAAAGGTTTTATTCCCAGCCAACTTTTAAAAACGTAGTTCCTTTGATTTCTTAGAAGTTGTTTGGATTCAACATATTTGCACTGAAGCCTTTGTCAGCTCCAAACATAGCAGGCATCAGGCTGCGGAAGCTTTACTAATGAGCACCTCTGGTGTCATCTTCTGCTTTGGATTGCTGAAATAAGCACATGTCCTTATTCATGTCCTCTTCTCAGCCTGAATCATGGTCGAATTTCCAGATGAACATAGTAAAAAAAAATGGGGGGGGGATAAAATTGGAGTCTCATTGTCCATGCTGATTATTTTGGCATGTTACAGTCCAAGTGATAGTCAACTGTCCTAAAAAGTCTTCTCAATGTACAATAGGCTTCTCTTGCTGTAGGTCAAACAAAACAAATATTGAAAGTATTGGAGACAGACAGTCGCATCTTTCATTGTAGCATCTGAGGGTGCTAGGAGACACAGGAACTGCTGTGTCTCTTGAAGGATGAACATACACCATCCTCTCAAAAGCCATTCCTCCTGGAAATTATATCTCTGTGACGCTGAACCTAAAACAGTATTCTCTGTTACCCCAACATAGTATAGTTCCAAGATTACTTGTGGGAATCCTGGAGCCTTCCAAATGTATTGGGACCAAGGAGGGGGAATCTATTAATTTTGGTTTCTTTCAATTTCTCATTTTTGCAAATATGTTAAGTTTGTTTTTTCTGTCTCACATTTTAGCAACTATATCAGCTTTGGTTCATCAAACTGCAGATGTTGTGTCTGTGTACACATTTCTCCAAATATGTGTTTGTTTGCAATTTTACTGAATGTGCTTATTTTTTTGCAAATAGTTATAATGCATTTATATATTTGCGTGTGTGTATGTGAATATGCACACATATTTAATGCAATTTTCTCTAATATTTATAATATTTATATCACCAATTTCTGACAGACTCCCAGTGGTTTACAAAATTTGAATATAAAATCATTAAAAAAAAAACCTCTCAGAAGAAAAACTAAGGCAATTTCCTTTGTTTCTTAACAGTGAAAAAGTCTGCAGAAGGGCTCACTCTTGGCTGACCTCCAAAAGATTATGAAGGAGGCACTATTTAGATGTCTGGAGGATGAAGGAGCACATGCAGGAAAACAATATGCTGGAGCCACCCCTCCTCTGATATCACACAGGAAGGGTACTCATTTAGGATGAATGAACCAGACAAGATGGTTCTATCTGAAGAAGGCTATCCTGAAGATATCTAGGAGACAAACCATCTAGATTATAAGCAGCATTTGGACTTGTTCTCAAAGCTGGTCACTAGCTGGCAGCTCTCACCTGCCAATAGGTGGACTTCTGCATTCTGCACCAGCTGATGTTTCCAAGTAGTTTTCAAAAGGAAACCCACATACAATGTATTGTAATAGTTAATATGAAAGGTGATGAGGGCATGGTTAACCATTATAGACAGTCCTCTACTTATGAACTTTCGAGTTATGAACTTTCGCCAATATGAACAAACCTGTCCACAACTCCAACAATGAAGGTTGCCTGGAAGTTTACAACGTGCAGCATACATATGCCCAGAAGTTTATTGTGCACCAGAAATTTATACTCTGATATTTATGGCGCACTGCATACATATGCTTGGTTGGACTTACAAACAAAATGGACTTATAAACAGCCTCTCTGTACCAGTATCTTATAAACAGTATCTTATAAACTTATAAACAGGACTGTCTGTACCAGTATCTCAATCTCCAGGAAGGGTCATAACTCTCAACAAGTTCCCTTCCAAAATATGTCTTTTTTATTGCTGGCAGCTGCATTATCAAATTCAGACGACTGCAAAATTCAGATAATAACTAGAGCTTCTTTTCACATACTGATTTGAAAATAAAAAAATAGATAGGTTCCCATTCAAATTTTAACTAAAGAAATTTCTCCATCTTGTTGGGACCACGACTCTTATAATCCAAAGTTTTCATGGCCACTTGGGCTGGACTATTTATATACCGAAGTCTAACAATTCTGGAAAATATCAATTTAGGAAAGGCTGGTATGAAGGACAAATGTGTTCTTGCATTCTAAAAAGCAAACATATTTGCTAATAAGATTTCAATATGTAATTATCCTGCCTCATCGCCAGAATTTTATGGGGTGATCTAGGCAATATTTTCTGCTTATAACCTCCCCATATTTTTGTACAGCTTTTTTCACCTTTTTTTCTTTCAACCCTGCCCCCCCCCCCAACAATTAAAGAGGAAAATAAAACAGCTGCACAGTGTTTTTGGATTGGCAGGGTTATGTGTCCTCCATAAGGAAATTTCATCCTACCCAATTCCCAGTCTGACAATTTATCAAACTCTGCTATATATTATCATAATCATAAGCCAGGCCCATCACTTTCAAAGTTGTGTTTAATCAATTAAATTCCAAGCACTGTTAGGAAAATGGTTAGATGAAGAAGGATGGTTTAGAAACACGAGGAAAACACTGTAGAAATTCATTTATTTACTGCATTTAATTGTGATTTGTGCCACTAAGGATAAAACAAATCATCCGTTATAATACAACAAGCACAGACATACACGAACACATAAAATAAAATATAACAAAGACAAGCATTGCAGATAAAAAAGGCATTAGATAAAAATTGAAATTAAACCAGTCTAATCAGAGAAGGTTTGCCAATAGGAAATCAGCATACAATACCAACATTTGAAAATGAAAGCAGACATTATAAACAGCCTCTTGGAACGTAACCTGTTCATAAGTAGAGGACTGTTTGTACCAGTATCTCAAGCTCCAGGAAGGGTCACAACTCTCAACAATTTCCCTTCCAAAATATGCCTTTTTTATTGCTGGCAACTGCATTATCAAATTCAGACGACTGCAAAATTCAGATAATAACTGAATTTTTATTCAATTTAATTTGGGATTCATCACAAATGTTTAGGATTATAAAACACAACTAAATTCCATTGCTGAAATGGGATGCGAGAGTGCACAGTGAAAACAGCAATATTTATGTATCTAAGGATTCAGATGCAAAAGAAACATTTTTGATGCTATCTTCCTGTACTTTGAGAAACACAGAACATAGGAGGACAGGATAGGGCTCCTCGCCCTGGATGTATGATGAAACCAATCTCCGCACACTGTGCTCTCAAATACATGTGCATGCAGAGGCAGCCCTAGTCACATGTGTGTGAAATAACATCTTGCTGAAATCTAGTCAGTTGACTTCTAGATTTGCTACATGGTTAATTTTAATTTTCTTAATAATCAACTGAGTTTTCAGCAATGATATTTGAATTGAGCTGCTTACTGCCTATGTATTTTTTTTAAAGCTTATTTTCCTGCTTATTATTTTAGATTATATGTTTATGCTGTAGTAAATACATATTTTATTAAAATATTTGAACCAAATCAAAAACGTTACCAAGTTTATTGCTAAGTATACATGCTAAGGATGAGGCTGAATTCAGTGTGAAATTTGCTTCTGAACAGGTATCAAAACTTTTTTTTAATCTGATGTACATTGTAAAGTAAATAGGTTTACCTCCAATTTTAAGACAGAAGCAATACACACAAATACTGAGCACTAGAAGAAAATATAAGTACAGTACCCATCATTTGCAAATACAGTCCAAGCAATGAATTCAACAAATAATTTAGTTATAGATCACAGGTTATTCCTGACAGAAACTCTAGATTTTTAAATATATACCTTGTTAGACTTGTAACACAAGGCTCACCCAGAATTTGGAAAACACCCAACTTCCTCACCAAGGGAGGTTTGCAAGTCTGTGTAAGAAAGTCCAATGCCATCGTTCCCAGATCAGAAAGATAGTATAGCCATACATGCAATAATCACTCAACCCAGAATCACACATACAAACAAATAAAAGACAAGAGTTTGAAGTGGGAGTGTCAAGAAGTACAACAGTGTTTAAGGGCACTTGCTCACAGTCCCCTAACCACGGCACAAACATGCCCTGGTAACCCTGGCAACCACTTTTTCTGCCATGTCCAGATGTTACCTACAAGATGAGCCCATAACTGAGTCAGCTTCTTTCTTCTCCCAACAAAATTTGGCCATAGATACACTCCAGCACATTTCAGTGACAGTGTGGTTGCTGATGCAGCTCAGAGATTGAGATCTGTCCAGGTGGCCAGATTTACTAAATTGTTGTGGTTGTTGTTATTAGCTATGTTAGGCCGCTGCAGGCACACCCTTCTTTTAGCTGGGAACTTCAAGGGCATTTGGCTGAGGCCTCAGGAGAGATTGGACACTTGACTTCCACAGAGGCACCTACTCACATAATGACTGACCAACACTCACCGAAGTGCCTGTCAAATCTTATGTGGGCTCTTTATAGGCATCCGCACCAGTGACCAGCGAGTTGGGTAACCTGACAGGTGGCTAAACCCATCATTCTAAGCACCCACCTACAGTCACCTAATGCTCTGGGGAGAGAGATCGGCTGTTGTCTTCCAGACAGCTGAAGGGAGAGAAAATGAAGTGGGAGATCCACCAGCTCCTTTCCTTAACTGGTTCAGAATCGGTGTCTGATTGCTCTTGTAGCCAGCTGTACTGAAAACAGGAAAGTTTCTCAGAACTTCGATGATTAGGATTTCTCAGAACGAAAGCTTACAACACAAGGATTCCAGGGAGGGCTTTACTTTCACACGCCACCCTTATTTATAAGCAATTATGGCAGCAAGATTCGGGAACATTTCCCGAGACTTTTCCGGTAGAAAGGGGAGAAGCCTCATCTCTTTAGTGCACCTCTCCTTGTTTTGGAAACAGCTGCTAGACTTATCCATGGGAGAGCCGATTCTCACAATCGGCGCGTACGGACAGCACCTTTGCCGGCGTCCTTGCTGTTGCGGAACGGGGGTCAGCAACGGGGCAGCAGCGCTCATGCCAGCCGCCTTTCTGCCGGCTCAAAGCCTGCCGGATAGCACTTTAAGGCACCAACTGGAACAGCCCTAAGGGCGGGAGGAAGAGGGCTCCCTGGCTCAAGGGGCGGCCGCCCGACCCCCTGCGGGAAGCCCGCTCTGCCTTGCCTCCATTTCGCCCTCCTCCCTTTTAGGGTCAATAGCACGAGCAGCGCGCGCTTACACCGACTTACAAGCAGCCCGGAAACTTTCTGGGAACTTTGCCTCCCGCTGACGCCAACAATCGCTGCAGGGCCCCATCCCCTCCTCTCCGCCAATGGAAAGCTGGGGGGGGGGG